CAGGGATTCTTAACCTTGTATCCATGGGATATCTAATAGATTTCCTGGAGTCTACAAATTTATTTTTAACTTTTAATAACCATATTTCAATAGAATTGGTTTCTTTTATAATCTCATTTATTTTATTTTACACATTTAAAAATGTTTCTGAGAAAGGGGTCTGTAGGCTTCACCAGACTGCCACAGGGGTCCGTGACATAAAAAAGGTTGCAAATCCCTGTTCTGGTTACCAGATCAGCGTGAACTCCACTTCATCTCATCCCCTGGCCCAACCCAGGAAGAGCCATAGACTTAGGAACTATAGAATGTTAGAGACGGATCTCAGACAAACTCTCTCATGTTATAGAAGAGGAGACTGAAACCCAGAGAGAGGATATAACTTGCCAGAGGTCACACAGGTAGTAAGTAGCACAGCCAAGACTAGTGTTCAAGTCTCCTCACTTTCAGGCCTGGGCTCATCGTTATTCCGTTGGCATTTACTTCAGATCAATTTCCACTGAGGTCCATGGGGGTACTCTTTGGCCTCTACCTGTTCCATGCTCTTTCAGGGTGACCAGTCCCTGAGAAGGCTAACCACTCTCCCCACCCTCTCCATCCACTGTCCATTCCTCCGCCATTGCTCCTCTGTTCCCTCCCTGTCTTACTTCTTCCCACGGGGCAGAGGTGGAAGAGCTGTGGATTGGTCTGAATGACCTGAAGCTGCAGATGAACTTTGAGTGGTCAGATGGCAGTCTGGTACAGTTCACCCATTGGCACCCCTTTGAACCCAACAACTTCCGAGACAGCCTAGAAGACTGCGTCACCATCTGGGGACCGGTGAGACTTCTCCCATCCCCTCTCACCAACACATATCTCTCATAGAATTATGAACTGGGGCCACACAGTAAGTGGCAGAGTCAGAATCAAAGCCAGGTCTCTTGACCCCTAGTTCTAGGCTCTTGTGTAAGTAATGAGAAGAATACAGTGAGTTCTACTAATACTGACCACTGGGAAATGGCCTTCAGATATAGGAGTTGATAAAGGTACTCTTAAGGACAGTGGGATACACAGGCAAGTCAGGGGCGGTCAAGCCTAGAACCAAGGGTCTCTGGGGGTATGGAAGAGCCTGGACTAGGACAGTGGGGAATAATGGGCCCTCATTTGGTGGCTTCCTCCTACCTTGGAGGAAGTGAGGATCAGGCTAAGCCCCATGCTATCTCCCACCATCTTCTAGGAGGGACGCTGGAATGATAGCCCCTGCAACCAGTCACTGCCATCCATTTGCAAGAAGGCAGGCCAGGTTAGTTTGGAGACAGCAGAGGAAGATCATGGATGCCGCAAGGTGAGGATGGTACTGGACTAGCCTCTGGGGAATGAACCTAGGTCAGGAGAGGTCTTTGAAGGGGGGTTGAGGGAAGGGGAAGGAGAATCTTGTAGCATTTCTCTAGATTATCCCCACTCTCTGATCACATCTAATGCACAAGGGTAAGAAGGGCAGAGGTTATATTGCCTGGGGCTATGGGCTTCTCTTCATTTCTCTGTCTTCTTTCTACACATCACTCACTCAAGTGCAAATAACTATCTCCAGGGGGACTGAAAGGTGATATCCTAATTTCTGTGAAGGCCCTCTCTTCCTTCCCCACTGGGGGAAGGCACAGAGAATGAAGAAGGGGGTGGGTGCAAAGAACGTACAACTGAGGGGGGCAATACCCTCTAACTGGGGACAATTAGATGCCAGTGCCATCTGAATTCAGACTGATGAGATGGACTTTTCAGCACTTGTGCCCATCCCCAGTCCCTGGTCTCCCAGGCTCCTCCTTCCCCCATCACCATGGGTGGGTCCAGCCAAGCGGGAGGAGTGAGGGAGGGTGGGATGCGGAGGGAGGGAGAGCCAGCAGCCAAGGTTCTGGGGCCTCTTATAAAGAAAACTTTGTGGGGTTTTGGCCACAGGAGGCTCCATCTGCCGGAACTAGAGGCCACATTCCTCCCCAGCTGGCTTCCCAGTGCCAGCTTGGCTGCTCACTCTGTTTTTCTTTGCATTACGAGAGAGAGAGAGAGAGAGAGAGAGAGAGAGAGAGAGAGAGAGAGAGAATGAATCCCTCTCCCTATTCCCTACTTTACTCAAAGTTGCAGACAAAGAACAGGTCCTGACTTGGGATAGTGAGAAGGGGAACAGAGGGATGTAGTGTTGGGAGGGTCAGGAATGGGAGGAAGTGGGCCATAGGAGTAAGGGGGTGCACTCTAGCCGTGGTTTCTCCCACCCACAATCTTCTAGCCCTAGTAGCCTTACTCTAGGGTGAGGAGAGATTTAACTCTTATCCTGCTAAACTCTTGCAGCCAGATTGTCTTGGCCACTAAACAACCCTGGAATTGGGGCTATAGACTCATTTTTCACGTGTGTGCAGTGAGGACATTAACCCTTCTCATCCAGGGACACTTAAGGCAGTCATAGGGAGAGTTGAGTGTTCTGATTCTCTGAAGCTCCTAACTGCACCCCCCCAAAGATCTCAGCAGATACCCAGCTTGTCCACATAGCTTCCCCTCCGTCAGGGTAACCGCCTTTCTTCACTCATACTCCATCATGTAACAGAAGGTCGTCTATGAAGTTTTGTGATTTCCCTACTTGCCCTGGTCCCTCTCAAAGTCCCATATTATCAGCCCCCAGTGCCACCCCTGAAACAACAAAGAGAGAGAAGGCAGTATTCCTGTCGTTTTTGTTGACCCCATTTGGGGTTTTCTTGGCAAAGATACTGGAGCGGTTTGCCATTTCCTTCTCCATCTCATTTTACAGATGAGGAAACTGAGGCAAACAGGGTTAAGTCACTTGCCCAGGGTCACACAGCTAGTAGGTATCTGAGGCTGGTTTTGAATTCAGGAAGAAGAGTCTTCCTGATTCCAGGCCTGGCAGTCTATCTATTGTGCCACTTTCCTATTCTCTTTATTTTCTGTTTCTCACTCTTGCCTACGAATTGCTCTGTGGCCTCCCATCTCCTTCACCTCATGACCCTCTCTCCCTATGATGTCCTGTTCATCTAACTTTGAGTTTCATTTAGAGTTCTTTTTCCCTTTTTCTCTTCTCCCCCATGGCAGTGTCCGGGCCAGGAGAAGACTTTATGAGTCCCAGACTCTGCTTTAACCTTCCTTCCCTATATACTGTATATGTCCCATAGGAAGAGGGCCACAAATAGAAGGCACTCCCTTAGATCCAGCTTTCTTCCCTTTTTCCTCTTTCTGATTAGGGTTGGACCTGGCATAGCCCATCTTGCTATTGGCTGGGAGAAGATTATGTGACCTACAGTGAAGCCCGCCGGATGTGCATGGACCAGGGTGCCACTTTGGTCACCATCACCAACAGGTGTGGGGCATAATGAGATAGAGGGGCAGCTTTGGTACTTCCTTACTTGATTAGTCATTTCAGTCATGTTTGACTATTTGTGACCCCATTTGGGGTTTTCTTGGCAAAGACACTGGAGTGGTTTGCTATTTCCTTCTCTAGCTCATCTTGCAGATGAGGAAACTGAGGGAAACAGGGTTAAATGACTTCCCCAGGGTCATATAGCTAGTAAGTGTCTGAGGCCAAATTTGAAATCACAAAGATAAGTCTTCCTGATTCCAGGCTTGGCATTCTATCCACTGTGCCACGTAGCTGCCCAAGTCCCTACTGTCCTGTCCACAGCTCCTCCTAGACATTCTCCTGGTGTCATTAAATGGGAACAGAGCCCTGCCAAGGCCCAGGCTTCTACTGAGTGGAAACCGAAGTAGAGGCATGTTTGGCCTCAGGCCCCATCCCATTCCATACCATCTCAGGGTGCCGGGAAGGGTGCATGCATTTCTGGACAGACAGGACCACAAAACTGATGAAACATTCATTTTAATAGCCTCCCTGCCTATGTTCCTTCTAGCTCATGGCTGAGGTTTCAAGGGCCTGTGGTTGGTTTCTTCACTACTGTCACAGATTTTAGAGCAGGGAGAAACTTCAAGAGAGTATTTGAGTATCTACCCTTCCCCACCTACCCCACCCTATCCCACCGTACTCCACCAGAAGTTGGGTTGGCCCCCTTCAAGTCTGAAAAGAGTCATGAGGGAAACTGTCTAGGATAGAGAAAGTATTTTTGTGTATTTTTCCTTCCTGTAAGGCTGGATGAGAAAAGAAAGATAGGGAATCATCTATTAATTCATTAATAATTATCATTCCCATTAGTGCTAGAACCAGAAACCTTTTTCTCTCCTCTTTTTTTCTTTCTTTCTTTTTTTGGAGGCAATTACGGTTAAGTGACTTGCCCAGGGTCACACAGCTAGTAAGTGTCAAATGTTTGGATCTAAGGCCGGATTTGAACACAGGTCCTCCTGACTCAAGGCCCGGTGCTGTATCCACTGTGCCACCTAGATGCCCCTCTCCTCCTTTTTTTCACTTCTTGATGAAGGATACTTCTGGGGCTGGGGAGGAGAATTCTGAACCCAGAGGAAATAGGGAGGGGTCCCTAAGCTTTGAGTTTGATGAGAGGGGGCTTCTATTATCCTCTTTTCTCCTCTCTGTGCTTTTTCCTCCCCAATACCCAGGTTTGAACAAGCCTATGTCAGCAGCCTTATTTACAGTTGGGATGGCAAATACTTCTGGACAGCCCTTCAGGACATTAATGGGACAGGCTCCTTTCACTGGCTTAGTGGGGATGAGGTTATGTATACCCACTGGAACCGGGACCAGCCCGGTAAGCTCCCTTTCTTTTCCTCCCACCTCTGTGCCTTACTTACTTTGCCAGCCCTTTCTTTGCTCTCCAAGGAAGTGTAGGGGAGGGAGGTAGCAAATAGCCAGGCCTTTCCCCTTTCCCTTGCCAGGTGGACACCTCCACTTGTGCCTACATGTAGCATCACTGCAGCAGTGAGAGGCTTGCCCATCCTCCAGCCCTGGAAGATCCTGGGGACCCAGGGATCTGGTGATCAGCTGAAAGGAAGGGAGGGAGGGGCAGTTAACCCTGTGAGGTATCTGTATTTTCTCTCCTCCCCTTTTCAGGCTACAGTCGAGGGGGGTGTGTGGCCTTGGCTACTGGCAGTGCCATGGGTCTGTGGGAGGTGAAGAATTGTACCACATTCCGGGCTCGGTATATCTGTCGCCAGAACTTGGGTACTCCAGTGACACCTGAGATGCCTGGCCCTGACCCCACACCAAGCCTCACTGGCTCCTGCCCCCAGGGCTGGGCCTCTGACCTCAAGCTCCGACACTGCTATAAGGTAGGGGAAGTTGAGGAAGGGTCGGTGAGGGGGAAATATGGCTAATAGACAATCTAGACAAGTGCCCCAGGGTTGGGGCAAAATCTTTCCACTCTACTCTGAGTTCCCTTCCAGCTCTGACATTCTGTGAACCTAGTATGCATGGTCAACTCTTTGGCAAAGATCTGACTTTGGTTAGTACTTTCATGAAGTCTGAACCCAAGGAGGGACCAAATTTAGCAGTTCAGGACACCAGGGCAAAAAAAAATGGAAAGTTAAAACTTAGGACTGTCCAGTGCTATATTTCTTTGATGTTCGTGATAATGTAGTGAGAGTAATCCCATGGAACATATGCCCTGATGGGCATGCTCTTGTCAAGACAGGTGTTTTCCTCTGCCGAGATGATAGCAAGTTCTAACTGGCCCTCATGTGTCTTTGCTTTAGTTTTCACCTGCCCTGGACTCCCAGGGACCAAAATCAGTCCTAGGGGAGCCTAACTCCAAAGAGACAGGGATGATCATGCTCTTAGGCCCTCACTGGCCATGCCTCTCTTCCCTCCTCAGCTCCCCTTTCCCTTCTTCAAGTCACAGGGTAAATCTCTCAAACAAAGCTTAGGTATGAATCACGTCTAGGAGCTCTCCTAAAAGAGATGAACGAGTTCCCCCTTCCATTTCTTAATATTTAGTTTTTTCCCAATTACATGGAACAAATTTTTTAACCTTCACTTTTTAAAAATTTTGAGTTGCAAATTTTCTTCTTCCTCTCCTCCCCTCCTTGCACATTAGAAAGCAAACAATTTGATAAAGGTTATACGTATGTATTCATACAAAACATATTTCCATGTTAGTCATGTTGTAAAAGAAAACAAAGAAAAAAACAAAAACAAGAATAATAAAGAAAAAATTTTAAAGTATGTTTCAATCTGCATCCAGACTCCACCAGTTCTTTCTCTGGAGATGGATAGCACAAGTTCCCCCTTCTAGAAAATGTACTCAATGCACAAAGTAGATATCGGGTATAGGACAGGTATTTATTTCCTTCACCATAAAAGAAGTGCCCGAGACACATAAGACTCATAAGCACACATTAACCAATGCTTAAATCATAAAACAAGCATCTTTATTGTATTCTCCTGGAAGATAAAGGCAGCTCTGTGGAACTTCTAAACAGATATGTCACATTCACCTCGGAACTATTCTGTCCAAGCAACTCACAGAGTCCAGATCTTCTGGCCAGCCAGACATGGCCATTCAGTCCCGTCAAGTCCAGGATGATGTCACCTGTGGTTGTTTTCTCTCCTGAGAAGTGCTGCAGTTTCAGGAAGCATCTCCTTCTGAGCTGCCAACACAGACTCGGGAAGTCCTGACCTCTCAAACCCTCGAGGTTACCACTGGGGCTGGAAATGTCCATTTCGCTGGATGTTTGTTCAGTTACCTGAGTGAAGAGAAAGAAACACAAAATAGAAGAAGCTGCCAGAGACTCAAGGTCCAGGCTCAGACTTACCCAAGCAAACAAATGTTCTCACCGCCATGTTCTAGCAACCATTGCTATGGGGGGAGGGTAGAGAAATACTCAACCCTTACTTAGTAGCTGGAAGTCTAAGGGAGAGCTGGTGCTGGACTTGACCCAAGAGAAGCTGGCCCAAGAAAGAGAAGTGTGGAGCCTTTCTACAGCTCTTATAGCCTACTATAATGATGTTCAGTGGCCAATCAGTACAACCTCCAGTCAGTGAGACACAAGAGGACCAATCAGGAGATGCTGTGTCCTGTTAACAAACTGAAGCACCTGTTCTTTAGGAAGAGGTCTATGGGCATGTCCATCCCCTTCTCCTTCCCTAATAAATAATAATGATAACTGACATTCATATACCACTGTGAGATTTGTAAAACTCTTTATATACACTAAAAAGTCAATCAACAAACATTTATTAAATACCTACTATGTGCCAGCAAACAGTCAACAAGAATTTATTAAGTATCTACTATGTGCCAGGCACTGTGCTAAGTGATGGGGATACAAAGAAAGCCTAAACAAACAAACCAGTCCCTGCTCTCAAGGAGCTCACTATGGAGGAGACAAAATACAAACAACTGTGTGCAAACAAGCTATATACAAAAATTATTAGCGATAATCTGCTAAGAGAAGGCATTAGTATTTTTTATTAATTTATTTTGATTTATCAACAATCACTTCCATATGGGGAAGGCATTAGTATTAATGGGGATTAGGGAAAGCTCCTTGTAAGATTTTAACTAGGACTTGAAGGAAGGCAGGGAGATCAGGAGACACAGATGAAGAAGGAGAGGTTTCCAGGCATAGTGGATGGCCAGTGAAAACGCCTGGAGGTAGGAAATGGAGTTTCACAAACAACCCTATGAAATAGGTGTTATTATTATCCCCATTTTACAGATAAGGAAACTGAGTCTTAGGTTAAACGCCCATGGGCCAAGGGCAGAGATAGCTCTTTTCTGGGGAATAGAAAAGTGATTATTTAAGAAAGCAGTGGTTATGGGGGTCATCACCAATCCATTACCTGGTTCCTCTGCCAAAGACCCAATCTCATGATCTAGGAATGAGAATGGCAGACTTAGAGACAAGTTAGAAGGGATCTTACAGACCAACTAGTCTACATTAAGGAAAGAGATGGAGACTGGACCAATGATTATATTGATACAGGGAACTCTCAAGTTAGGAAATACTCTCTACTAATGTAGGTTGGCACATTCTATGCAATTTATAATCTCCAGAATCACCTAGATTTTAAGCAACTCTTTAAAGCTTTAGTCTCTAGAGCACTGAGAGAGAGGTAAAGTGAATTTCCCAGAGTCATATAGGTAGCATGTGTGAGAGACAGGATTTGAATTCAAGACTTCCTGGCTCCAGCTCTATCCACTATACCATACTGTCTCTCAAAAGGAGAAAACTGAGGATCAGAGAGGGAAGGGACTTCCTTAAGGTCAAATAGTCAGTTAATGGCAGAATCAGGACAGCAACCTAGATCTCCCCACTGGTCCACAGCAGATAGGAGGTGTTCTCATGGGAGTCAGGGATCGGTCTGGGTGTTAGGTTCTACTTCTTCATATCCTTTTCCTCTGAGGAGAATGACCACACATCCGGAACCCTGACTTGGTCACAGTGTCCAATACACTCAGTTGGGAGTCCAGACAGTTATCTTACCCTAGGAGCCAGGGCTGGGAAGGAGGGAGAAGTGAGTCTAGTGGGATAGTTGGGGCTACTGGGGGAGGTGAGAAGCTTTCTTGTCCTGTCCCCTCCACATTCACCTTCTGTCTCCCCAACAAGGTATTCAGCTCAGACCGAATACAAGACAAGAAGAGTTGGCCGTTGGCCCAGAGTGCATGCCAGGAGATGGGAGCTCAGCTGCTTAGCCTGGCCAGCTATGAGGAGGAACACTTTGTATCTAACATGCTCAACAAAATCTTTGGGTATCGAACCTGGGGGCAGAAAGGAAAGGCTTTGTGGGTCTGAGGGCATGTAGGCTTGCTTACCTGCATGTGCATGCAAGAAGAGTCCCTGGGAACTCTTTACCTCCCAGGGTAGACCATTCCACTTACGGATGGCTAAAGTGCTATTCCTAAAGCCCAGGTCTCACCGTGTTGCTCCCCTGCTCAGAAAGTGCCAGTGGTTTCCCATTTCCTCTGAGATCAAATACAAATTTTTCTTTTTGGCTAGACACGGTCACCCGGGTTGACAATTAAGGAGTCCGGTGGTGGTGGTGGTGGTGGTGATGGGGTAGATGTGGAGTGCTGGGAGTGAAGAGGCTGTGGCAAGTGTATGTGGCCTGAGTGGGGTGTGCCAATGAGGGACATGCCCACTTGTGTTTTACATGCTAATATATACCTGCCTTTGTGAAGGTGACCAGGGGATAGGGAGAAATGTTTGGGGATGAGCTGGATCATTCCATAGGGCTATCCTTCTCTCCCAAGTCATAGGTCAGAGGGAAGGGGGTCTCCTGGGGTCCTTCAACTTCTCACCCTTTCCTACCGTATTTGACCTGGGGCGGGGGGATGTCTATGTGGGCAGTGAGTCAGAGCCTGAGATCCAGGAGCAGCATTGGTTTTGGATTGGTCTGAACCGACGAGACCCTCGAACTGAGCGAAGCTGGCGCTGGAGTGATGGCCTAGGGGTGAGTGGGGGGGGGTGAAAAGAGTGAAGAGGGGTGGAGGGATGAGAACAGAAAAATGAGAAGCCTGCCGGTGATGGGAACACATCTGTATGTATGCACATGAGTGTATATATGTGTGTATCTGCATATACATGTGTGTAGACGTTTGCATGTGTGTAGCATCAAGGCCCTTTCTCCTTAGGAGACAAGGTTAAGTAAGGAAACCTGTAGCTCGAATGTTTCCTGATCTGTAAACTGAAGGGTTTGAACCATGAATCACAGAATCTTAGAGTTCAGAAGGACCTCTGCAGTGCAGGTATCTAGCCTAACCTACAACCTAAAAGGAATTCCCACTACAATATAGCCGACAAATGGTTGTCTAGCCTCCACCTGTAGACAGACCTTCAATAGGAGGGAACTCTTTGCCTTCCAAGACAGGACATGGGATCCAAGGATCCCATTCTACTTATGGAGAGTTAAACTACTAATCCTGTACCCAGGCCTCACTGTGTTACTCCCTTGCTCAGAAAGTGTCAGTGGTTTCCCATTCCCTCTGGGAGAAAATACACACTTTTCTTTGGCATTCAAAGTTCTCCTTCACAATCTGGCTGCAGCCTAAATTTTATCTTTCTAGGCTTATTATACTTTTTAAACATATATATATATATATATTTATATGCAATAGAATAAGTTATATATTGTAATATATTATACTAATATATAATATATTGTATTATATTATTATATATAACATATAGTTTTATGACTTATTATATTTATTATAACTTCCCTTTATGCATTCTATCTTCAGTCAAACCGTCCTTCTTGCTATTTCTTGTATAGAACATTCCATCTCTGGTCTCTAGGCCTTTGCATTGGCTATTCTCCATGCCAGGAATGTTCTCCCTTCTCATCTCTACCTCTTAAAATCCTTTCTGCCCTTAAAAGCTCAGTTCAAGGGTCACCTCCTACATGAGGTGGTCCTTTCCTGTACTGCTTCTTTCTCAAATTACTTTGTATTTGCTTATTAGTAATTATATATTTGGTATTTATATAATTTTATATATTTTATAAGTTCTCTATATAACTTTATATATTCTATATTATACATTTTGTAGATTTGTATTTATACATTTCTATATTATAAATATGTTCACATGTGTTCCAGATAATACATTTACATATTATAAACAATATATTATATATTTATTTTATATATTGTATGCTTTATATATTTATATATTACAAATAATGTGTTATATAATATATTTATTTTTGTACAATATATGTTTTAATATGTGCATATGCACAGGGACACTTATGTGTGCACATGTTACTTCCCTCTGTTCTTTGAGAGCACATCCTGCCTCCCTTTGCAAAGCACAGTGCTCAGGCTCATTGTAGGCACTTAAAAATGCTGAATGATTAATTGATTGATTAAGGAGTTTTGTGTGTGTGTGTGTGTGTGTGTGTGTGTGTGTGTGTGTGTGTGTGTAGGGCAGGGGGCAGAGGGAACATGGCAAGTGTTTGATTAGGAAAATTTCCCTGGTATCAAGTGTAAATTCTACTCCTTGCTTCTGATTTTGCAAGCTTAATGCTTCCTCCCCAAGAGAGCCTTTCAAATAGTTAAGCACAATTCTTCTCTTGCCCTTCTCCCCATCCCCTTCCCCTCTCCAGGCTAAACACCCCCTGTTTCTTCAAACAGTTCTTAAATGACATGGATTCAAGACCTTTTAACCATCCTTGTTTCCTGCTCTGGGTGCTCTCTGTATAACCTCTGAGGTTCTTCCCAGATCTTAATTTGTAATTCTAAGGGATTCACTGGGAGAACACTTAGTGAACCAGGCCTAGGACCCAGGTATTTTTCATCTTAGTTTAAGGCACTGCCCTTCCAGGGAATTGTGTCAGCAGAGAGCAGCACAGAGGGAAGGACGGACACAGAGCAAGGGTTGTCCCCTGGGCACTTCTTCTTTCAAACTTTTCCTCCCATCACTTTCCCCAGTACTCCTATCACAATTTTGACCGTAGTCGCCATGACGATGATGACATCCGGAGCTGTGCGGTGCTGGACCTGGCCTCCCTGCAGTGGGTGGCCATGCAGTGTGAGACACAGCTCGACTGGATCTGCAAGCTTCCCAAAGGTTACCATTGGGAGGAGCCCTGGAAGGATGGCTGGGGATCAGGGTGTTGGCTGATGGTGGGTTCCTGGAGGTCTCTCTGTCTCTCTCCTGCTGCCTCTCTACAGCCTCCCCTTCTCTGTTCCAACAGGAGTCGATGTAAAGGAGCCTGATGTCAGCCCACAAGGTAGACTCACCCCCTCGCCCCCAGCTACAGATGGAAGATATAGATAAAGGGTGGGAGAGGGATTGGGGGTGACCAGGAAGATGGAGCGAGGAACCGAGGCTCGGGGGAAGTGATGGAGGCCACAGGGCTAATCCAGGATACTTGGCTCAGTGGAGGGCGTAGCTCCCATAATCCACTTCGTGATGTTCTCCAGCTAGCCTAGGCTTTCCCTGACTTTGGTCTGTCCCCTATTTCTGTCTCTCCAACTCCTTTTCTTCAACCCTGCTCCCAGGGGAACTGGAGGTCCCTTCTCCTACGCCAAAGGGAGCGCTTGAGATGTCAAGAACAAATAGGGTTTCATACACACATCTTTGTCTCACCTTGCAATAATTCACAGAATGGCCCATTACATAGATGCCCTATTCCCATACCCTTGCTCTGTCTGGCAAGCCTAAGCAGTGGGTCTGTACCCTGCTATGCCCACTCTTCATAGCCCTGCCTGATCTGCCCTTCCTTGCCCCTCCCTGCCTTCCTTAGTGCTCACCCTCCCCCACACACCCGGTACTTCCTTGCAGGCCGGAAAGAGTGGATTCGCTTCCAGGAGGCGGAATACAAATTCTTTGAGCATCACTCCACTTGGGGGCAAGCCCAGCGTATTTGCACATGGTTCCAGGCTGAGTTGGTGTCGGTGCACAGCCAAGCAGAGCTGGACTTCCTAGGACACAGCCTGCAGAAGGTGGCGGTCAAGGCTCTGAGAAGGGAAGGAGGGAGGAACTCAAGTGGGCAGAGGGAAGCTTCTGGTTTTGTTTCATTTGTTGACCGATGCCATGGAAAATCCCTGGTCTTGCAGACTAAAGCCCTGAGTTCAAGCCTCAGCTCCCGCACCTGCTGGTTGTCTGATTTTGAACAGAGCCCTTAACCACTCTGAGACTGGTTTCCTCATTTAAGGTGTGGGGGTTGTGCCAGGGAGTGGCGGGTCTTTTTGGTTTGCAGTGGCCTTGGAAGAGACTTCTGCCGAGAAGCCAGGTGGCCCTGCAGACAGGTAGCATGCTTTGGCTACTTCATGTTGGCTGACTGAGCAGAGAGCTGAGAATGGCCAGCCAGCTTCCCTCAAGGCCTGCATAAATGAGAAGAACCTGCTGTGAGAGCCATAGGCCCTTCAGCCAACATCCCTGGGGAAGGGTGACATGTAGAATGCAGGCCATGATAGTTCTCCTCCTTAGCCCCTGAAGTTATTGGGAGGAAAGAAATGTGTAAACCTTAAAGTGCTATGGACATGTCCCATATTGTTGTTATTTTTCCAGGGTAGGGAGAAGATAGGAAGGCAGACTTGGGGGAGATGCCCAACTTGCCCCTTCCTTCTCTTCCTCCCTGCCCTGATTTGCTGCCCTTTGCCTTGTTCAGTTCTCCCGAGGGCAGGAGCAGCACTGGTGGATTGGCCTGCACACTTCTGAGAATGATGGGCGATTCAGGTGGGTGTGCTGACCCTAGAGGTGATTGATATGTGCAATTGCCCTTGTGTAGGGGTGTCCAAGGGGCAACTAGGTGGTGTGGAGGATAGAGCACCAAGGCCTGGAGTCAGGAAGACCTGAGTTCAAATCTGGTCTCAGATATTTGCAGGCTGTGTGACCCTGGGCAAGTCACTTAACCCTGTTTGCCTCAGTTTCCTCATCTGTAAAATGAGCCAGAGAAGGAAATGGCAAACCACTCCAGTGTCTTTGCCAAGGAAACTCCAACTGGGGTCATGAAGAGTCAGACACAACTGAACAACAACAACAAAAAATGAGAGTCCAAGTCTTGTGTCTTGGTATGTGTTGACCTATGAGGTATGTGAACCTCAGCTCTGGGCCCTGTTCTCTAAGGACTCACAGACTAATGGGGCTTAAGAATATAGTATCATACATTTGGAGCTAGAAGCAAACTTACAGGTCATCTCATACAACTCCCTGATTTTACAGAAGTGGAAACTGAGGCCCAGAAAGTGTAAGCTAACTTTCTTAAGGTGTCACAGATAGTATATAGTAGTAGAGTCTGGGATTTGAATCCAGGGCCTCTCACTCCAAAATAGCATGCTTCCTATAGCTCCATTCTGCCTCCAGGAAAAATGAGGTCAAATGAATCATCCAGTTAACCTCTTGAGGAGCCTGAGGAAGAAATACTGGAGTTATACAGATATCCTCCTGGCCTCCTTGGATGGCCTTTCCATTCACCTCTCTGCCAATATTGGCCTTCTTTTCCATTTGGAGAAATAAAGGCCCAAAAAGGACCAGTCTACCCTGCCTAGAGACATAGAGGACACTGATTGAGTTAGACTCTAGAGTTACCAACCCCTCCTTGTACCTGGTACTGGCTCCTCTCCCCATCATCTTGTCCCCTCATGACAACACATAGGATAATGCCTCTTGTTTTCTCTCTTCCTGGGAAAAGGAATGGGTCTCTCTTTGAGGCCAACTCTGACCTTCTGGTGCTATTTCAGATGGTCGGACAAATCCATCATAAATTTCATCTCCTGGGCACCAGGGAAACCACGGCCCATTGGCAAGGACAAGAAATGTGTCTATATAACAGCCAGTCGAGGTGAGAGCTGAAGAGGGTGGGGATGTTGAAGCCTGAGGGAGGGATGGAAAGGGCTAGAACTTAGGGGGTGGGCAGGAAGGAGGAAGCTGGCCACTTGGTTCCCATAACTCTAGAGGATTCCTTTTAGTGCCAGGGACAGACTGAGGAGGAACCTGCCACACGGTCACAGAGCAACTTAGTAAAGCTCAGAACTGAACACAGGAGACTGGATCACCAATTACAATCCTCATCTCACTGAGAAGGATGTGGATTGGTTTTGAATTCCTAATTTAGTTATTAGTTTAGTTACTGTCTCATCCTGAAGGTGACTACCCCTGCCCTCTCCACAGAGGACTGGGGAGACCAGAGGTGTCTGACAGCCTTGCCATACATCTGTAAACGCAGCAATAACACCAGTGAGAAGCCTCCCCTGGACCCGCCTCTCTCTCTCCTCCCCGGTGGCTGTCCTACTGGCTGGAGCCAGTTCATCAACATGGTAGGAAGAAAGCATGGGGGTATGTGGGGGGTAGGGGGGAGATGAAGGGAGTGGTGACCAATGAGAGAGAAAATGGAAGTGTATACGGTCTGTGTCTAGTGACAATGTTGTAAGTCTCCTATATTCTCCTTAACAGTTCAACTGCTTGTCTTGAATATAGGTGTCTCCCTTCATGATATCCCAATAGAGTAACACCTCATTTTTCCTTGAGCAGCAGGGCAACCCATCTAAGCTTCGTAAAACAGAATTCTAGAGCTGGAAGGGACCATAGAGAACATATGCTCCAGCCCCCTCATGTTGCTGCTAGCTAGATAGAAAAAGCATTTATCAACTGCTTACTATGTTCTGGGCCAAGGGGTGTGGAACCTCGAGGCCACATGTGGCCCTTAGGTCCTCAAGTGCAGCCCTTTGACTGAATCCAAACTTCACAGAACAAATCCTTTTATTAAGGGGATTTATGAACAGAATCTAGGCACTGTACTAAGTGCTGGAGATACAAATACAAGGAAGCAAGATAATGCTTGCCCTCCAAGAGCTTACACTCTAATGGAGGAAAACAGAATGGGAAGCTGGTTAAAGTGGAGAATTGAAGAGTACACATATGATGGCATGGTTTGGGACTGGTGGCCAGGAAAGGAGGTGAGGGTTTGATTCTGGGCAAAAGAGAGCCAAAATTCACCTGTCAGGGTCTGAGGTACATCCAGGGGCAGGGTCCAAGGTTCCTATGGGGAGGAGGTTGAGATGATGTCCAGAGTAGAGGAAGCTGGTGGCCACAAAATGACTGAAGAAATTGAGGCTAAAGAGGGAATTTGATTTGCTCAAAGGCACACAGTAAGCCATTGTCAAAGCTGAGACTTGAACCTGTGGCTTCTGACTCTCAGAGATCCCACTGTACCTTGTGGCCCTCCCTTTAGTTTAAAAAAAAAATAGTTTCAATAAATGCCAAAATGAAACATTTTAATTGTTCTTTTGATGGTATCTTTCCGACATGTATTACATACTTCTTTGGGCTCTTAAACAGAATAACGAATATTATTCAACCTTTATTTAGAGCCTTGGAGTGATTGCCATGAACCTCAGTCATGATTTACCTCCAGTGAGTTGTGAGGCCTGGAGGGCTGTTTGCCCGCAAACTAAATGACCCCTTTCTCTTAAAATCTGACAGTTCTTGTTTCTCTCCCACCCTTCAATCAGAATATCTATGCCAATTCTCATCTATGGCTTGATTTTTCATACAGTGGACTGAGTGAAAGCCTCAGGGTGGCTCAGGCCTCTCATAAACAGAGGAAATTGTGCAAAGCTTTTTGAGACTTGCGAGATTCAGAGACCGATTTCATTTACTTCTGGGTTCACAGTTATTTTTTATGTGTGACTTCTAGGCACATTTAGGCATATACAAATGTGAGGCTTTCAAACAGATGATTAAAGATGATTCAATTTACAGAAGGGGTTCTCTGCTTTAGGAGAAAATATTCCCCTTAGTTTTCCTTTAAATAACAAGAACTCTTCTTCTCTTCAGGTATTTAAATGCTTGTTAATGAATAGGACAGGTTTATCTCTCTTCAAAATAATCTAATAGGACATTTTGCATGAGTAGAGCGGAATTCACAGAGCAGAATTTCAGAGCTGGAATAATCTCAGAGACCTTCTTGTCCAACTCCACTTAATGTTAGAGGGGAAGAAATTGAGACCCAGAAAAGGGAAATGACTTGCTCAAAGTCACATGGGCAATCAGTAGCAGACAAAGCCAGGATTCAAACCCAGGCCTTCTTTTTCTAAATCCAGTGTTATGATGAAAACCCCCTGGGACATTAGGATTATAATGTATAAAGTTTCCCAAAGAAGCTTCAGAGATATATAATAAATGATAAAGAAATGATATGAAGTCAAAAAGCATTTATTAATGCCTACTCTGTACTAAGGCAGCTAAGTATCTCGTTGGATAGAGAGCTCGGCCTGTAGTCTTGAAGACCTGAGTTCAAATCTAATCTCAGACACTTACTAGCTGTGTGACCCTGGACAAGTCACTTAACCCTGTTTGCCTCAGTGTCCTCATCTGTAAAATGAGATGGAGAAGAAAATGGCAAACCATTCCAGTATCTTTGCCACGAAAATCCCAAATGGGGTCATAAAGAGTCAGACATGACTGAAACAACTGAACAACAAATATACTAGGTACTGTGCTAAGACAAAGGCAGAAATAGGTCCTGCCTTCAAGGAGCACATAGTCTAAGGGGAGACAATCTGAAAACAACTATGTACAAATAAAATATATAGAGGAAAAATTGGAGATGATCTCGGGGGGAGGGCATTAAGGGGGATCAGCCTTGAAGAAGGCTGAGATTTGAAGGAAGCCAGGGAAGTCAGGAGTTGTGTGCTTTTTAAAGTCAGTCTCCATTTTACTTCCAAGTGAACTGGACCAATTTCATTAGTGATTTTCTTTCCTTAAAAGAAATAGTGTAAGGTAGGATGCAGTTTTCGCTGGAGAAACAGAAAGATAGTTGGAGACAACAGTAGAGTGACCAGGAATAAATGACAGGGTTTCTATGTCTCCCACACTCTGGCCCCTTTCCTACAGTCATTACCAAACCCCCTGAAGCACACTCGTTCACTGCTTGACAGAGCTGGGTGTCGGGATGGTGGGAAGCAAATTAAAGTGTCAAGAACTGCTGCCTCTGAAAACTCATCTAAAATGAACAGGATTGGATAGTCTTTTTTTTTTTTTTTTTGAGGCAATTGGGGTTGTGACTTGCCCAGGGTCACACAGCTAAGTAAGTGTCAAGTGTTTGGTCTGAGGCCGGATTTGAACTCAGGTCCTTCTGACTCCAGGGCTGGTGCTCTATCCACTGCGCCACCTAGCTGCCCCAGTGAAGTCTGAGGACCTATGTTCAAATTCCAGTTTTGTGCTTTACCTTGGAAAAGAATAATAACAATTAATAATAAACTTCCATTTCTATGGTGATTTAAGGTTTGCAAACAATTTCTACACAACAGTCCTATATGAAAGATAGTGTAAGTATGATTATGCCCATTTTACAGATAAGGAAACTGAGCCTAGGAGAAGTTAAGCAACTGGTCCATGATCATACCACTAGTCATTATCAGAGGTAGGATTCAAACCTAGATCTCTATACTCCAGAGACTTTGGGCTGCACTTTCTACTGTAACATATGTCTTGAAGTAATATTTGTAAAGATAGCACAGTGCCTAGCACATAGTAGGTACTATATAAATGTTTATTTCCTTCCCCTTCTCTTCCCATCATTCACCCCTCTCAGCCAGCTGCTTCACACAAGCCACATTCCTTTTCTTGACCTCAGTTTTCTTGCATGTAAAATGAAGAGATTGGACTTCATCTCCAAGGTCTTCCTTCCAGCTCTATATGCTATGACCCATTGAACTTAGACACAATTTTTCTAGGAACACATTTGTTGTGAAAAATGAGGCATACGTGTCCTTAGTTATCAACCTCTTCACCCCTTCATGTAGGGGTAAAGAGAGTCCATCTCCAACTCTAGGCCTTTTCACTGACTGTCTCCCATGCTTGGAAATTGTTTCCTCCTCATCTCCACCTCCTAGCTTCCTTGAATTCTCAATTCCAGAACCCAATCTTGGCCCTCCTTAACCTTAGTGCCTTCCCTCTGAGATTATTTCTAAATTATCCAGAATATATAACTTGCTTATACATAGTTGTTTGCATATTGCCTCCCTCATTAGACTGTGAGCTTCTTGACTGCAAGGATTGGTTATTTTTTGCCTTTCTTTATATCATGAATGCTTAGAACAATGCCTGGCACATAGTAGACACTTAATAAATGCTTGTTGACTTGACTTACAGGAGCCATTATAAGGGGCTTCCAGAGGGAGGTCCAACAAAATCTTTAACCTCATTAAAAAAGCCAGAGTGTGAACCAGTGTGAGTGTGTGAGTGTGTGTGTGTGTGTGTGTATGTGTGTGTGTGTGTGTTCCTCACAGTCTTCCAGTGGTAGGCAGAAGAGATTCATGTCTTAATTTCCAAGCGTTTCACTCCTTATCTAAGATATCTTTCTTCCTATCTGTAGAAACAAAACCAAAAAAATTTGTCCTTTGCTTCACAGCGAGATGATGGGCTGAGCCATTGTGGAATCCCAATAGGGTGGGGTAAATAAATTTGTAGATCTGACTTTTATGTGGGGGCTTGGAGCAGCAGTCTAAGACACAACCATTCTGTCCCAAGTGCTTCCGAATCCAAGGCCACGATCCAGCAGAACGAGTTAAGTGGTCAGAGGCCCAGCGTATGTGTGAACAACAGGGAGCCCAGCTAGCCACTATTGCTAACCCCCTGGAACAAGGTAAAGACTGGTCAAAGACATCTGTCCATCCCACTGTATTTTAAAACAAAATGTTTTTTTTTTCAATTAGCAAATGTTTATTTTCTCTCCTTCCCACTTTCCCTCCTGTATTGAGAAAGAAAAAAAGAAAACCAAAACCTTTGTAACAAACATTCATAATCAAGCAAAACAAATTCTCACAATGGCCAGGCCCAGAAATGGATGTCTGGGTCTGCAGAAGCTGATCTGATCAGAATTCTTAAGTCTTTCAGAGGTGTTTATTTTTTACATTTTTTTTGGTATAAATTATTCTATTGCTTCTGTTCACTTTATTCTGCATCAATTCATGCAAGTCTTGTAGCATATTCCCTTACAGCATAATAGTGTTTCATTACATTCATACATAATATTTTGTTCAGCCATTCCCTAATTGATGAGCATCCTTCAGTTTCCAGTTCTTTGCCAAAAACTACAAAAAGAGTTGGCTATACATATTTTTGTACATACGGGTCTTTTCTCTCATTTTAAAAGATCTTTTGTATTCTGAGTCAAAGGGTATAGTAATTCCAAATTGCTTTTCAGACACATTTACAGCTCCACCAACAGTGCCTGTTTTTCCACAGCCTCTCCAACATTTGTCATTTGTCATCTTTGTGAACTTTGCCAACCTGATGGGCATGAGGTGGAACCTCAGAGTTGCTTTAATTTGCATTTCTCTAATTATTAGTGATTTGCAACATTTCTTTTCCATATGACTATTGATTCCATCCCGCTGCACTTCATTACCATCCCCCGCATCAACCTTGGGCACCACCTCTGTCAATGCTCCTGGAATCACCTCTCATGCTGCTCTTTTTTTATTACTATTACACAATCCCTGGGCTTCATAGTTGTACCATCTGCCCCTGTGTGGGAAGGGTGTGGGTGTGGTGGGTCCTTAGCTGTTTGTAATGAGATAGAGGTGATGGTGGTAGGCCTTCCTGCCTCCAGTAGGGGACCCACCAGGGTTACAAGGAGGAAGGCTGGAGATGATCAAGGAGGGGGAGTCATTCATGATTGCTTCCCGACCCCTACTCCATGCCCACCTCCTCCATTCACTGCCTCTGCTCCCTGTGTCTGCAGCTTTCATCACAGCCAGCCTACTCAATGTGACCTTTGACCTCTGGATTGGCCTCCACGCTACCCAGAAGGAGTTCCAGTGGGTGGGGCAAGAACCTATGCTCTTCGGGAACTGGGCACCTGGGGAGCCCTCGGGACATAGCGACTCTACTAGTGGTGAAAAACTGGTAAGAACTGTCCCACTGCCTGCCAAAAACACATTGGTAAATAAGGTTCTCTTTTTCTTCTCTTCCCTTCTCCCCATGACCTTGCTCCTACGCCACCTTTAGCTCTGACAGCAGCCCTTTGGAGAACATTGACTCAGGGGGTGTGAAGGGCGTGGAGGGGACCAAACAGGGGACCAAACAGGCAATCCAGCCGGAGGCCAGAAGTGCAGTGTGCCTCTTGAGCTCCCTGGCCTTCCTTCTTCCCTGTTTCCAGACCAACTGTGTTGTCATCGGGCACAGCTCCTCTCCCCACTTCACTGGACGCTGGGATGACAGGAATTGCCTAGAGGAGACACATGGTTTCATCTGCCAGAGGGGCACAGGTAACTTTAATTAGCATTTTTTTAAGAAAAATTTTTTTATTTTTAGCTTAAAAAACACCAACAGAAAAAAGAGAGTTGTACTTGAAACTTTACATCTTTATTATGTACAGCTTGCTTTACTTTGAAAGTATATAATAAATTAAACCTCTAACTTTCAAAGCTGTCATGCTTTTTTAAGCTTCTTTCTGGAAGTTGTTCTCTGCATTTTAAAAAATTGGGTCTCAATGACCTTCTTTTTTCTTTCCCTTCCCTTCCCTTTCCCCTATCCATATCCCCACTCACCCTTTTCCTCCTCTCCATTGGAAAAGGAAAAAGAAAAACAAAGCCTTTGTAACATATATGTTTAGTCAAGCAAAAAAAAATTCTCCCATTACCTATGTCCAGAAATGTCTTATCCTGCATCTTGAGTCCATCACCTCTCTCTCAAGAGGTGGATGGCAGGTTTCATTATCAGCCCTCTGGAATCATAGTTGGTCATTGCATTGAGGTCAGGATTTTCATCAAATAACACAGAATTTTATAGAGCACTTGTTGAATGTCCAGTACTGTGCTGTATACTCTGGAGAATACAATGATGTATCTTTGCCCTCACAGAACTTACAGTCTAGTTAGAGAAATAGGACACACACACACACACACACACACACACACACACACACACACACACA